TTCTGCTCTCTGTATCTCTCTGCACACCAACTCCCTTATTCTTAAATTAAGCACACTTATGAAAGCTTGTAAGCCAGCCCCTTGGAGCCTTTGTAGCTCCCCCACACACTTTTGATAGCCAATGTCTAAATTTCTCATCCTTATCAACCCAGTACATGCCAACAGCTGATCTTTTGATTAGCAGTCCAGTACTTTAACAACTGTGACACCAGAGCTCCTTAAGTCTCCTGAGCGCGGCACACCAGAGACCCTGATAGAAACTTTACAAAGACCAGACACAGGGAGTCTTCAGCTTTGATCACTACCCGCAGGATAAAGAACCAAACGAGTAGTACATTCACCAGACAGTATCTCAAGGAAGAGCTGTGGTTCAGGTCCTGTCTAAGTGGATTCTGCCCTCAGCTGTGGTCTAGACAGCCCTGGAGGTTGGCTCCCGTTGGACTTGCAAAGGCGTTCCAGAGAAGCACTCCCTCGCCAGCAAACGTCCATTTCAGTTTCAACTCGTGACGTTTGGCAGGGCCATCGCTGAGCCAGCATCCAGACATCTGAAATCGTGCCTCTGTGAAATCAGGCGTGGGCTTTGTGAGAGTCCAAAGACCATCAAACTGGAGCCAGAGACCTAGACGTATGGCAAGCTATTTATCAAAAGACTATCCACATGAAAGTCAGCCAAGTAGGGGTACCTATGATGGCATGTGCCTTGGACAGGCTCATGCAGGTCAGTGGGCAACTTGGCATCCTTGCTCTGCATACTCACAGTAGGGGTGGGCTGAGGGGGTGGAAGGAGTGAGTGCCTCTGCTGTAGAGACTGCCCCCTGCTGCCCTCCTAGTGTGATGCACCCCATCCTTGTGGACTATGTTCCATTGGCTGGCAGCATCAGCGCAGTAGCATGCTCTGACCAGCAGAGGGCACCAGCGGTCTGAGGGAAGACATCCAGCTCCTCCAGCCTGCCCAGGCCTGAGGGTAAGGACTTGGTCTGAGTGTTCCCAGACACCCAGAGAAGCTGTTGGACAGATGATGTATGAAGGTCATCAAATTCATGCAGAATTTGCCCAGCAGGACAGTGATTCTTCCTTCATTCCTTGACACAGAACTTGGGGCCAAGCCTGTGACCAGAGGACTATCTTTTACACTCACTGCAAAGCTGAACAAGCCCCTTGAGGTATGCAGGGGGGTGGGGAGGGGAAGCCGGGCAGATTGAGGGTCTGAGCAAGCATCTCACAGAGCCTTGAATGCCAGGTCTACAATCAAGGGTACTAGGGAGCCATTGAAGACTATGGAAGAGGATCCCTACCAGTGAGGAGATGTGCGTTTCAGGAAGCACTCTGGGACAGAGAGGGAGGAGTTAGGTTCATGGAGGAGAAAGGGAGTGCAGGGAATCTTTGGAGGCTACATTCCAGGTGAGGGGTGAGGAGCACAGGGCAGGTATGGGGTGGGGATTGGAACGGGGGTATGAGAGAGAGAGAGAAGGGACAGGTTCTGGTGCCTGGAGAAGTTCAGGGTGACTTCTGCTCAAGAGTCTGTCCCACCCACTGAGACTCGGTGGAAATGCACGCTCGGATTGGTGACCACATGCATCACCGATGGGGAGAAGTGGGGTAAAGGCACCAATGAAGCGGCGAGCTAAGCCTTACAATATTCAGAGGGCTTCTATGGACCCGGTTGGGGACCTGGTTGGCAAGCAGTGTGAGACCTGAGGACTCCTGGGCCCAGAGTCAGTGACGTGGCCATGGAGGACTCAAGGGGAGA